CACAGCAAACTAGTTATGGATGCCTTACTGTGCTGTCGTCACTGTGACTGGGGAGGTCAGCCTATTCTTATCCCGCATGTAGTGGTAAGGAAAGTGAAGCTCTGCGAGGCTAAATAACCTGTGCAAAGCCCCTTGTGGAGATGGCAGAAGCAGAATTTGAAGCAAGGTACGTCTGATTCCAGAACCCACTCTCTAAAGCAGCAGGCAGACCACCTCCTAAACAATGCACGCAACCTAAATAGAAGAACAGCTTCTCAGAGCAGCGAGTGCCTGCGTGAACATCAGAGAGGACACAAGAAGCATCCTCCCAAAGCCTCTGACCTTCGTCTCTGCTGGAGATCCCTCATCCCTGTGAGGTCCTTATATCTGTAAGGTCCTAGTCTAACAATGACAGTGGGTTTCATCTGCTCACTGGGTGATAGATGCCCAAACTGCTACACTGGAAGAGATTCCAAGGCCAACTTTTGGCTCAGTTGTGATCCATCGGCCAAGACCAACATGAGAGCTGGGGAGGGGGAGGAGGTAGAGTGTGGCTGTTGTTCCAGACCTCTGCCTGCCTGGGCCAGGGGACTTGCCTGTGCTTGTGTGATTTTGTAGGTTTCCACACATGCTGTTCAGCAAACTGCTGTACATGGAGGAATCGTGAGGCTTCAGCCAGACCTTTCCCACCAGCCTGAACAGAAAACCCTGCAGCAAAGGCACTGAGGAGCGGAATGGGCACCGAGACATGGCTTGTGATCAAAACACAGCTGGTTGTCTCCTGTTAAAAGCCATTCAGAGGCCGGGCGCGGTAGCTCACGCCTGTAATCCCAGCACTTTGGGAGGATGAGGCGGGTGGATCACCTGAGGTCAAGAGTTCGAGACCAGCCTGGCCAACATGGTAAAACCCCATCTGAACTAAAAATACAAAAATTAGCCAGACGTGGTGGTGGGCACCTGTAGTGCCAGCAACTTTGGAGGCTGAGGAGGGAGAATCGCTTGAACCCGGGAGACGAAGGTTGCAGTGAGCTGAGATCATGCCACCGTACACCAGCCTGGGGGACAAAGCGAGACTCTGTCTCAAAAAAATAAATAAATAAATAAGCCATTCAGAGGGTGTGATGTATTCTGTCCAGATAAAACTTGGACTCAGAGCTTTTCTGATTATTCTCAGGTAATAGTCCTACGGTCACTTGGGTCTGAATTCAGGGTGATTTATGCATAGAATATCCAAGCCCTTGTCACATTCTCGACACAGAATCTGACTCAGTGCTCAGCCTCCTCCCTACCTGGGTCCAGTTAGGAACATGGTTCCTTTCTCACCTCCCCCTCTGCTCACCTGCCCCCCACAGGTGAAAGTTTAGGGGAAGGCACAGGTCCAGGTGAGCCCACATATCAGCTCACTGTTCCTTGGGCCCGGCAGATACTGAAGGCTGGCTCTTACGTGGTGTCTTCTTGGGCTCTTCCATGGTTCCCTGCTGGGTGGTTTTCTCCTGAAGCCCCCAGGTCAGGGTGGGGCTCGCTCTATGCCGCGTTGCTTTCTGCTCTTTGTCATCCCCTGAGCACCTGGTGACACACCCCAGACTCTTTCTTACAGATTTGTTTGCCGCCTCCAGGGAGCCTCATGGGATGAATCCTAAGACCACCCCTGGGCGTATCTCTCTCTGTGCAGCTCACACTGGTTCCAAGGAAAAACTGTGGGTTCAGGACAGTCCCTACCCAGCAGCATCCCTCCCAGAACCATTCTCTCACCTCCAGATTTCCCAGGTGTGAGTCAGACCCCAGCGATCCCAGCAAAGCTCTCTCCAGGGGGCCAAACTGACGCTTCTCAAGGATGTCCAGAGATGACCTGCATTGGATTCATCTGGAAGAAGCTGTGCTGTTACAAGTGCTCAGACCTCTTTCCCACCCCCGGCCCGCCCCATCCCACTGGATCAGGATCTGAAGGACTCAGCCTGTAAACAGGTACTAGAGTTGACAGATAAAATATAGGACATGAGCTATGTTTGAATTTCAAATAAACAGCAAATTATTTTAGGATGAAAATGTCCTAAACATGGTATGGAGTATATTTATACCAAAAATATTTGTTTATCTAAAATTCAAATTTGACAAGGCATCCTGGATTTTTATTTGCTAAATCTGGCAACCCTCAACTGCACCGAACAAGCTCCCTGGGCTGCACATCCAAGGCAGCACCATGGTTCCAATGTGTCTCCTCCAAAAATTATGCGTTGGAAACTTAATCTCCAATGCAACAGCGTTGAGGGGTGAGACCTTTGGGAAGCATCTGGGTAAGGAAAGCTCTGTTCTCATGTACAGATTAACACCACTTTACAAAGGGCTTGCAGGAGTGGGTTCACTCTCTTCTGTTCCTCTGAAGAACTTGAAGACACAACATTCCTCTTCCCCACAGGATGTAGAAATGTGGCACCGTTTTGGAACCAGAGAGCAAACCTGCCAGCACCTTGATCTTGGACTTCCCTGCCTCCAGAACTGTGAAATAATACATTTCTGTTCTTTATAAATTCCCCAATCTGGCCAGGTGCAGTGGCTCATGCCTATAATCCTAGCACTTTGGGAGGTGGCAGGCAGGCCGAGGCGGGCAGATCACCTGAGGTCAGGAGTTCGAGACCAGCCTGGCCAACATGGTGAAACCCCTTCTCTACTAAAAATACAAACATTGGCCAGGCATAGTGGTGCACACCTGTAATCCCAACTACTGGGGAGGCTGAGGCACGAGAATCGCTTGAACCTGGGAAGCAGAGGTTGCAGTAAGCCAGGATTGCACCATCACACTCCAGCCTGGGTGGCAGTGTAGGATGCCATCTGAAAGAAAAAAATTTACCCAATCTGTGGTATTCCGTTATAGCAGCACAAATAGGCTAAGACAGTCAGAGAATCACTGGCCCAGACTTCAGTAAAGTCCCCAAGTCAATGCCACCCTGGGGCCTCTGGGGCGTCAGCCAAGCAACAGTCCCCACACAACCCATATCCAACCTATATCATCACGTGCCTCCTTTCCTCTTTGAATTTCATCAGATTCCTTCTACAGCACTAGCATTGCTCTTCTCACCCTGGACCCCCTCGTTAGCACAGTCCGAGGGAGAGACTTTCCCATTGTAGCCTATGGGGGATGGCGCCCTCTGGAGTTGTGCAGAGCTCAGTATGTGAGGCTGGGCTGTCTCCATCCAGAAGATGGGACATGGTGCAACCCAGCATCACTGTGAAGATTTGCAAAGCAATGCTGGACAGTGAGCGAGTATTTCACAAGAATAGACCTAAGTCACGTTCTTAGGAGGGACGTAGACTCTACGAGGCGGTCTTCAGCAGGAAATCAATCTTTCCGGAGATGACCGACGATTTTGTTCAGTCACTTCTGTTGAAAATGAGCAGCAGTTTGCAGTGGATATGCCTGTGCCCCTTGTCTCCCCATCCATGATATTAGCTGTCATTTTCCATTCCCTCATCAGACCTGGAGCCCAGGCTCCTCCTCCCCTCCACACCCTACCCCCAGAGCCAATAGAAACGGAGCAAAGGAGAAAGCATTGGCATATAGTAGATGCGTGAGTAGTAGGTCCAGTGGGGACCTGAGCCCTAAGGAGGGGAAGAGGAAAGCCAGGGGGCTCCCTATGAGGCCACCCTGAGGGCCAAAGAGTGAGACTAAGTGGTGAGATCAGGGCCAGGTGCCTGGGTGTGCTGTGGGTTCCTGTCCCACATGCCAGTCAGAAAAGTGCTGGCCTCCATCAGGGCCAGGCATCCCCTGTTGAACAGGTGGGTGAAGCGGCCAGGCATCCCCTGTTGAACAGGTGGGTGAAGCATGGTTCAGAGCAGGTGGGGAGGGCACCACTTAGGGCCACTCAACAGGCTGTGGCTCAGCCTCAGAGGGGATGCCTGAGCAGTGAGGAGCAACCTTCGCCAGGGAGCTGCCTTGGGAGAAAGAGCAGAGAAGTCCTGGAATCTCCTCCCCAGGAAGCAGCTCGCGCCACACCCGTGAGAGGCCACCTTGCCGGTCATGTGATCTCACTTTAAGCCTCACAGTAACCTGCATGCCAGTGAGCGTTGTGTTCTCTGCTGCAGATGAGAAAAGCGAGGAGGTAAGACTGGGCAGGTAGACAAGTGGGCACTTTGGCGACTGAGTCCATAAGTCACTTCCAACCACTAGGCTCAGCCTGTGGCCAGGAAGGCAGTGCCCAGGCTGCTTGGGTAAGTCCACTTGGGTCAGTGCACTGAGGGGTGTGGAAGTTTTAAAAATACACAAGGTCTAAAGCATGACTGAGTCACTGACATCCAGTGAGGCCACACACCAGGAACCTCCATCCGAGGCTGGTCGTTTCATCTGGAACACACAGGGGCCCATCAGGACACTTGGGGGCCATGTGGGATCCATCTAGAAGGTGGTAGAAAGGGGATTGGGACCCACCACGCTGGGCATGAGGGGAGGCCAGAACCTCTCAACCTGACCTGGGCAGCCACACCTGAGGCCCCGGGTCAGAATCCTGGGCAGAGAACTAAGTGACAGCTGTACCCCACAGGGTGCGGGTGCTGGCAGAGGCCTCCAGGCCTCCCTGGACTGAGGGCCCAGGCTGGAAGCCCTTCCCCCAGACATTACCCCCACGTTCACAGAGAAGCCGTGGCCTGAACTGAGCCTCAAAAAATGTTTGGGGGTGACAATGGCTGAAAGCATCATTGTGCCCACCGGAGGCTCAATGATATGGCTTGACTGTGTCCCCACCCTAATCTCATCTTGATTGTAGCTCCCATAATTCCCACGTGTTGTGGGATGGACCCGGCAGGAGATGCCTTAATTACGGGGGCAGTTTCCCCCATACTGCTCTCTTGGTAGTGAATAAGTCTTACAAGGTCTGATGGTTTTATAAGCAGTTTCCCATTTCACGTGGTCTCATTCTCTCTTGTCTGCCGACATGTAAGACACACCTTTCACCTTCCGCCATGATTGTGAGGCCTCCCCAGCCACCTGGAACTGTGAGTCTATTAAACCTTTTTTTCTTTATAAATTATCCAGGCTCGGGTATGTCTTTATCAGCAACATGAAAATGGACTAATACACTCGGGAAGTTGGGTGGTGCCCAGGTCAGGGAGAAGGAAACCTGGGATAAGAAAGGCTCTGAGATGAGGTGCCTCTGTGCAGCCATCCTAGAAACAAAACAGTCAGAAAAGAAGTCTTCATGGCTGCAGTCTGAGTTCTCGGCTCCACAGCCCATTGTGACATCACCTGGGGGCCCTGGATCTGAGCCAGAGGCTGTCAGCCTCACTCCCTCGGCCCTGGCCTCTGTCACCCCCGGGCCCACAGCACAGCCTAGGGCCATGCTCCTGTTCTCAGTGTTGCTGCTTCTGTCCCTGGTCACAGAAGCTCAACTCAGTCCGCGGACTCCTCTCCCAGAGGCTGGAGTGGCTCTTCTAGGTGGGGCTAGGGGCGCCCACCACCCTCAGCGCCCTCATCCCCCCCGCCCAGTCAGTGGTGAGTACAGGAGCAGAGGGGGCATGGATGGGGGCTCATGGTCCAGCTGACTGGCTGCCAGGAGGGTAGATCGCAGAGCACAAGGCCAGAGCTCCAGGGGTCCCCACATACGCCTCCTCCAAATCACTTCTCCTTTTTCTCCTCTCTTCCCTGGCCCAGTGTTTGACCTGTCTGACTTTGAGTTTTGGTTTTGAAACCTGACACTTCATCCTCAAAGGAATAGTAGACTGCCCTCAAGCTTGTGCCTAGAACTAGCTGAGACTGAGTTCTGCCACTTGGAGGGGGACCATTACCCTGTGCCTCTGTGGCTCCCAACAGCACCAGGCTTCCAGGAGCCATAGATGCCCAGGGAAGCCTAGATCAGTCAGACCAAGTTCAAGGATGCTTGTGTCCTTGTGCCTGGCCCTCTGCAGCTCCCTGATGGCTCATTTCTTTCTCCAAGGGGATGGGCGAGACTTCAGGGACACTGGGGTACCTAGCAACTGTTAGGGGTCAAGCACTTCCCCGTGTTTAACGCACACACCACCACGGTGGGGCATCTGCTCTCAGACCACGTGTGGACAAGGAACTCAGCCTCACTGAAGATGAGGATTTGCCCAAAGTTGACCCATGGGGAAATGACAGAGCTGTCTGCTTGGCCTGCACTGGGCGACTGCAGCGCCAGGTTGCCTGCCCTGTGCACACTGCCTCTTGCCCAGAACACAGCAGGTTCACCTGGCCTCCTTCAGTCCAGCCTGGGGTCCACTGCACTCTGTGTGAACAGGGGGTGGGGGGAGTGAGGGGAGAGCATCAACAGAACATGCTCCTCTGGTGTCCCATTGCAAGGGGGCCCAAAATGCATGATTGCTCAGATCACTCAGAAGCAGCCGTTTCTGCTTCCATCACTGCTTCCAGGCTCTGAGCTCTTGCATGAACCTAAAAGTCCACATGATTCCATATGGATGTTGTGGGTTGATCTCAGGACCAAGAATGTGGGGGATGGGTCCCATGGGGACTTTGATGCAAAATGGATATGAGAAATTCTGCCAGTTCATTCTGGAGAGTTGACTTTGGTCCAAGCACTTTGTCGGCCATTTCAACATCCATCCCCTCATTTCATCCACACGTCAGTCTTATAAAGTTGGCATTATCTTATGCTTATTTTAGGAATGAAGAAAGTGGGGGGGTACTCAAAGATAAGTAGGTTTCCCTAAATCATTTAGTGAGTAAGCAACAGAGCCTGGATTCAAGCTTGGGCTGTCTGGCACGTGCCATGTTCTGCATCTCAGACGGAGAGACAGAGGGCACCCATCATGGCTGCCCACCATCCAATCCACCTCACAGACACTCAGCATTTTGATGTACTTCCTTCCATACTTGTAAACCCACATTCTTAACATAATAAAATCACAAGGTTTAAATACGATTTTCATCCTGACTTTTTCACTCAATTTTATATCACAAACATTCTCCTGTGTTGTTAAAAATCCCCCATGAGCCTAATTTTGTGGCTGAGAAGCAGTTGATGATATGGATGTGCCTTACTTTATTCAACCCTAGCATTTAGCTGGTTTTCAATTTGTCATGATGATAGAGATCGCTGCAGTGAACATCATCAGATGCACATATGTGCTGCCTTCCAGACTCCCAGAGTCATTGAGTCAGAGGATGACTTATGGTTGTTGAGTGCCTTTTCCATGCCACGTGTGGTTTTCGGACCCTGGGACCCACTATCAACCAGACAAGCATGTTGCCTTCTCCGTCTGGAGCTTACATTCTGGTACCAGAGTCAGGCAAAAGGGACTTATAATGTAGGAGTTAATGTAACGAGGATGCAATGAAGAAATGTAACACTGGGTAGGAAATAAGGAGTCACCAGGATGGGAGGGGCTGTTTCAGACACAGGTCAGGGAAGGACACTCTGAAGAAAGGATTCTTGGGCATAGTGAGGAAGTGAGCCAAGTAGCTGCCTGGGGAAGAATATTTCAGGCAAAGAGCCACATGGGGCAGTGATGAGAACACCAGCTCTGCTGCCAGCCTGCCTGGGGCTCATATCATGGTTCAGTCACTGACTAGCTGTGTGACCTTGGGCAAACTACTTAACCTCTCTGGGCCTCATTTGTCTCAACTACAAAGTGAGGATGAAAACAAGAGAGCCTACCTCAGTAGGGCAGTTATGACAACCAAGTGAATCGGTGCTTGTAAAGTGCTTGCGACAGTGCGTGACACACAGTAAGCATCATATGTAAATAAAATCAGAGAAGAAGTGTGGATCCAAAAGTCGCGAATAGGCCGAGCATGGTGGCTTATGCCTGTAATCCCAGCACTTTGGGAGGCAGAGGCGGGCGGATCACCTGAGGTCAGGAGCTCAAGACCAGCCTGACCAACATACAGGTTTAGTGAAACCCTGTCTCTACTAAAAAATACAAAAACTGTAGTCCCAGCTACTTGGGATGCTGAGGCAGGAGGATCGCTGGAACCTGGGAGGCAGAGGTTGCAGTGAGCCAAGATCATGCTACTGCACTCCAGCCTGGGCGGTAGAGCAAGACTTCATCTCTCAAAAACAAAACAAAACAAAACAAAACAAAAGTCCCGAAGAGAGCCTTTGTGCATTACTGACAGCAGAAGGCTCTGGATGCACATTGCTAAGTTCTCACTCGTGTATTTTTTTTAAACCAAAAATGATCACCACGGGGTCACCCAAACGACAAAATCCTCACAGCTTCTATTGAGCTGATGGTTGGAAAATGAGCAGCAAGGAAGAGACAAGAAGAGGGTCTTGGGCTTTTTAGAGTCAAACTCATGCCTTGTCCCAGAACACAAGGCAGACATTCAAGTCAGCAAATATTAATGGAGCATCTCCTCTTCCTGGGGGCGAGGAGCTGGACCCGGCCTCTGTCCGGAAGGGGAATTTCCTGCCTCAGCACAGGCAGTTACAGCTTTGCTCTCAGTCCCCCAAGTAAAGGAGCTGCTCAGCCTGGACTAGCCTAGAACAGCCAGGGCTTTTAGCCAGGGCTTTCCGGTAGGTTCTGGCACTTTCTGTGCCCCGCCCCTTGTGGTTTCTTAGGGCTGCTGAAATGAATGACTACACACTTGGCGGCTTAAACAACACAAATATCTTATCCTACAGTACTGTGGGACAGAGCTCCAGCACAGGCCTTCCAGGGCTGAATTCAGGGTGCGGCAGGTCTGCATTCCTACTGGACGCTCTAAGGGAGAATTCTTTGCCTTTCCACTTCCAGCTTCTAGAAGCTTCTCTGGGCCCCTGCCTTCATCTTCAAAGCCAGCTATGTTGCATCTCTCTGCCTTTCCTCTGCAGTCACTTCTCCCTTGGCCTGACCTTCTGCTTCCCTCCACCCCTCTCAAAGGCCTCAGTGATTCCACTGGCCCCTCGGAAAAGCCAACATCGTGTCCCCACTCTGAGAGCAGTGGTTAGCAACCCAAATTTCATCTCCAAAGCCCCTCTTTCCTTGAAAGCTAAAATATTCGCAGGTTCTGGGGAGATGGCCTATTAGAACTTGGTCCTCTTTGGGGGGCTACTGTCCTGCCCACCACAGGACGTTGGCTTTGGACGCTATTTTTCTTCCAATTTCTCCTGGATGAGAGCAGAAACAAGCTCAGTGAAGTGACTCTCCTGAGGTCACAAATGCTGGATAGAGTCAGAGCCAATGCTTCTGACTCGCCTGCTGAGCTCTGTGTAGAAAAAATAAAGCATCTGCTGGCTGATGTCACAAGAGCTGCCCCGCTCGCCAGCCTCAGTGAGCTCCTCTCTAGAATGGGGGTGAGGACATCCACTTGGAAGCCTCCTCCTCCCAGCCCGGTCCCCGGCTCACACTGGACACTGACTAAATGTTTCCCTTTTTGCTTTCCACTCTCTTTCATTCCACCAGAATGTGGTGACAGATCCATTTTCGAGGGGAGAACTCGGTATTCCAGAATCACAGGGGGGATGGAGGCGGAGGTGGGTGAGTTTCCGTGGCAGGTGAGTATTCAGGCCAGAGGTGAACCTTTCTGTGGCGGCTCCATCCTCAACAAGTGGTGGATTCTCACTGCGGCTCACTGCTTATATTCCGAAGAGCTGTTGTAAGTACCACGAGCCTCCTGCTGCTGCCTCTCAGGGTGCCCACCCCTGGGGCACCCACCCCCTCACCCACACCTGGTGGCTGAGAGGAACCTGCGGCTGTTCGGTGTCCAGTCAGCATGAACAGCTCCCACCCACCCACCCATCCCCTAGCCCTGGGGACATGGAGGTAGCCAGTCTGAGGCTGCATCCTCCTCACATCACCCAGGGCCAATGACTACGACCTCCCTGAGGTCACATCTGCCATCTTCAGGAACACCTGTGGCTTGATGGAGCCAAGCGGCTTGGTCCAAATGCCTCTTCTGGGGCATTCAAGTCCATCTAGGGGGAAATCCTTCTAATTCTGGAAGCCTGACTTCCTGGGCCACCTGACCCCCTACCCTCCTGCTCCTTGTAGAGCGCTCTCTGTGTGACAGCATGTGGATGAATGCCTGGTATTACTGATGACTGACTATGTGCTGGGGACCCTGCTAAGAAACTTTCCTCTATTGGCCAGGCGGTGGCTCACGCCTGTAATCCCAGCACTTTGGGAGGCCGAGGTGGGTGGATCAGGACTTCGGCGGTCAGGAGTTCAGTGGTCAGGAGTTCGAGACCAGCCTGGACAATATGGTGAAACCCTATCTCTACTAAATTAGCTGGGCATGGTGGCGTGCGCCTGTAGTTCCAGCTGTTCAGGAGGCTGAGACAGGAGAATTGCTTGAACCCAGGAGGCAGAGGTTGCAGTGAGCCAAGATCACACCACTGGCACTCCAGCCTGGGCAACAGAGCAAGACTCCATCTTAAAAAAAAAAAAAAGAAGAAGAAGAAAAGAAGGAAGGAAGGAAGGAAGGAAAGATTCTTCTGTTAACTCATTTAATCACACAGTGACCCCTGGAGCAGGTAGAATGAATAGCCCTCATTTATAGATAAGGAAACTGAGGTCCAATAAATTGAGGCCGCTCACCCACGGTACCCACCTAGTATATAGAGACAGAATTCAAACTCTGGCTCTAGCACTTGTGCTTTCTGCTACACCAGCTCAAGGAAGTTTGAAGACCTACAGAAGGGCTGATTTTAGAAGGTTAATCAAAAACCCAGGGACAGTTTCATCATGTCATAACCAAAGACCCTTGTGGCACCTGCTGTCATGGGATATCAAATATCCTGTGGGGTTCTGAATGTGGACTTATTACTGAAGCTCCTGTCTTCTTGATCAGTGGTGGTTTAGACTAACTTCTGGTCCTGAGTTTCTAAAGTGTTGGTAGACCGGTTGAGATAAAAGAGATATAATAATGAATGCCCTACCTATCTGAAAACCAGTTTGATCCGTGCCAAGTGGCTTTTTGTGGGCTCTGTAGAGTGCCCTAAACCCAGCTCTGCCTTTGCTGTGTTAGACAGAAGCACGTCATTCACATCTCTGGGGCCCCCGATGGTGCCATGGTGTGGCTGTGGTCTGCTCACCAGCTGTTCTGTTTTTTGTTTTTGTTTTTCCTGCCTTTTTCCAATCCTCACACCTTCTGAGCTACAGCCCCAGTAGGGTCTAAATGTCCTAGAGCTATATGAGATTTAGGTTTCTGAGCACAGCCAATTCTCCCACTTTTGAGGCTTCCCTTCCCCTTCCACTCGCCCCTCTCTGGTTCTCTGCCACCAGTCCAGAAGAACTGAACGTCGTGCTGGGGACCAACGACTTAACTAGCTCATCCATGGAAATAAAGGAGGTTGCCAGCATCATTCTTCACAAGGACTTTCAGAGAGCCAGCATGGACAATGACATTGCCTTGCTGCTGCTGGCCTTGCCCATCACGCTCGATGACCTGAAGGTGCCCATCTGCCTCCCTATGCAGCGCGGCCCCGCCACATGGCATGAATGCTGGGTGGCAGGTTGGGGCCAGACCAATGCTGGTATGTGACTGCTCAGCTTCCCCTGGGGAAAGGGCCACTGCAATCTGAAGGAGAGGGGAGGAAGGGGGAAGGGGAAGAGCTGAGGAAGGAGTGAGGACAAGACTTGCTTTGGAGCAGATTCCTGCGTAGTGGAGGCTCACAGAGCCCAAGCCTTAGGTCCTTTTGAGTGCTGAAACCCCACACTGAGAGACCAGTTCTGAGCCAGTCTGATCCAGCCAGCACAGAGCAGTGTGGTTTGTGTGTTTAATCGAATTTAAACTCTGCAGTTAGCCAGAGGCCCCTCTACTCTGTATTCATAAACATCTTCCCTGATTCCCACGGGTGTGTTTCCTACCTGGCTCCTCCAAGCATTGGAGATGCCCACCCTGGGCTAGGCTTTGATGGTCCTGGAGCATTGCCTGACTCTTCTTAGAAATGAATCTGTTGTTACTTGTTGTTATGCTGTTACTTGGCCAAAACAGAAGAAAGTCTACTGGGACAGCAAGATATGATGAAGGGCCTGCTGGACTGTCCCCAAAGAAAACCCAACAAAACCAAAAGCAAATAGATAGGGGAGGGGAGGGGATGAGAACAGCAAAGCATTGCGTCAGCCTGAACGAGGCTGTGGATCCACAGGGATGATTCGCAGCGAGCCTGGGCCTGGACGGCCGTGGGTGTTTCAGGAGTTGAGCAAGCAGAGGGAAAGTGATGAGACCTTAGTTCTGGGCTCCAGGCACTACTGGAAAGGTAGAAGAGGGAGAGGAGGCACATGGGCACGTACAAGTTTAAAAATCTTCAATTAGGGGAAGAAATGCGAAATCTCTTTGTGGTCAGAGTTAATGAGATGGAGAGGAATCTGGGTGAATTTCCGGCATCTGGTGGCCCAGAAAGGGCCTCTGCAAATCCCCTCTAATCCCATCTCAAGACACTCTGCCAACCTGCCCTTGCTGAGGAGCTAAAATTGTTTCACTGGGAGTGCAAACCCACCTCCCAAGGCCCTGTGTGAAGGAAATGCCATCCTCATGTAATAAAATGTCACAATAGGCAAATGTATTGATGAGGCAGGATTATGCTGAGAAACAGTCAGTAGCCAGTTCCAAGAAGCTGAGTCTGTGGGGCTGACTGGAGTCAAGTTGGAAGTCTTCTTGGGAGTAGAAATTTGGTTTTGAATGAGAAGAAAAATTCCAGTAGTTGCAGGAGTTTTGGGGGGAGTGGGTAAGTTGCAGGCGTGGGGTAGCCTGAAGGAAGTGAGGGGCTACAGAGCCTGTGAAGGCAGGGGATGGGGGCTGGTGGACACAGGGCCGAAGGCACGGTCAGCTGCATCATGAGCGTGGGGACATGAGGCCTGGTGGCTTCTCTAATGTGCTTTCTCTCCGGACCAGCTGACAAAAACTCTGTGAAAACAGATCTGATGAAAGCGCCGATGGTCATCATGGACTGGGAGGAGTGTTCAAAGGTGTTTCCAAAACTCACCAAAAATATGCTGTGTGCCGGATACAATAATGAGAGCTATGATGCCTGCCAGGTAACTAGGGGGTACCCTCCCTCACCTAAGAGGTCCTCACCCTCTCGGAACTGCCAGTGCAAGGATATTCTCTCTCTGCTGCGAATAGACAATTCTGAGTCTGGAAAGTGTATGGGAATTAGGGCCTTCAGCCATGGGAATGAGGATGTGGATTGCAGAACCTCTGGAGCTATGAGTGAGCACACCTGGGAGTCAATATGCTGCAACCCTGCTTAACTATTTCTGATCTTCATCAGGTACACTAGGGAAACAGGGTGCCAAGGCTTTTCTCATTTCTGGGAATTCTTTAAAAAAAAAAAAAATCCAAGGAGGACTTGGTATCTATATAAGAAGTCATTTTAATTCATTAATTTAGAAACCTTTGTTGAACATACAAGGCCCTGGAGACCCGTAAACGAGATATGGTTCCTCACCTAAGGGACCCTACGGTTTCCTGGACAGGCAGTGGATAAACAAACGATGATAATATATTGGGTGTTGCATGTGGGTTTCATTGAACCAAAACTGGTCTCTTTGCCTCTCTTTAATAACATGAACACAAGTTCTTCTTTAAAAATTATTGATAGCCAGAAAAATAGAAAAACAAACCCCATAAATTAGCTTCCTCTGGCTCTAAGGATGAATGATGAAATTTGTTTTTCGTGCTCAAAGGTGCTCTCTTCATCTTAAAAGTGGCCACCCTGATGAACCTGCTTAGTCCCAGCTAAAGACTAGGGACCTGCTCATTGGCCAGGCAGTGGACCTGGTCATTGGTATAAAACCACAAATGCAGATGATAAATATTCTGAACAGTGACGGAGAGGCTACCCCATGGAAAAGAAATATATTTATCTAGAATAATCTGTTATGGTTTAATGTGAGAAAATTGGCAGTTTTTCCTGATAGGCTATGAGAGCCTTGAGAGGTGGGTACTGGAACAGGGGTTAGAGGCAGAAAGGGAAAAGAGAAAGGAGAAGGCATTCTGAAGTAAGAAGTAGACCCTGGCAGCATAGCACTAGGTTTAGGACCCCCCCATGTGGTGAAAACTTGTGGGGACCAAAAAGAGTGACACATGAACCTTGTATTTTCTTCACTTTCTGGGCAATTTAAAATATTACCAAAACAACAACAACAACAACAACAACAAACAAAAAGACAATGCACACAGAATTGAGACTTCTGGTTCCAGACAAGACAGAGTAAACACAATTCTCCCAGCCCCTCCCACTAAATACAACTAAAAGCATGGGATAGTATCTTGTAAAATACAAACAAAAAGGCTCTGAAAGATGAGGAGAAGGTGGTCTGATTGGAGATCTTTGGGTGTTTCTTTATAGCAATGCAAGAACGCACTACACACAGCATGACCAGAAAACATTAATTGTCCTCCCTGATTAGAATTTGTTATAATACTGTACTTATTCTAGTCACCTCTCAAGGATCATGGAATGGGACATCATCTCTCATTGAAGTCTGCTTGCAAGGTTGTAGTTGCTCAGCTCCTGTGGTGAGAGAGTAATATAACAAAGGTAGAGAGCGCATGGGCTTTGGCATCAGAAAATCCTGGGTTACATATACCTCAAAATAATAAGAGCCATCTATGACCAACCCACAACCAACATCATACTGAATGAGCAAAAGCTGTAAGCCTTCCTCTCAGGATGAGAACAAGACAAGGATGCCCTCCTTCACCACTCCTATTCAACATAGTCCTAGAAGTCTTAGCCAGAGCAATCAGGCAAGAAAAAGAAATGAAAGGCATCCAAATAGGAAGAGAAGATGTCAAACTATCCCTCTTTGCAAATGATATGATTCCATACCTGAAAAACTCCATAGTCTCTGCTCAAAGTCTCCTAGAACTGATAAGCAACTTCAGCAAAGTTTCAGGATACAAAATCAATGTACAAAAATTTGTGACATTTACATACACTAGATAACATACAAGCTGAAAGCCAAATCAAGAATGCAATTTCATTCACGATATCCACCAAAAGAATAAAATATCTAGGAAGACAGATAATCAGGGAGGTGCAAGATCTCTATGATAAGAATTACAAAACATTACTGAAAGAAATCTGAGACAACACAAACAAATGAAAGACATTCCATGCTCATGGATAGGAAGAATCAATATCATTAAAACTGTCATACTACCCAAAGCAATTTACAGATTCAATACATTCCCTATCAAATTACCAATGACATTCTTCACAGAATTAAAAAAAAACTATTTTAAAATTCATACGAAACCAGAAAAGAGCCCAAGTAGCCAGGGCAATCCTAAGTAAAAAGAACAAAGCTGGAGATCATGCTATCCAAATTCAAACTATGTACAGGGCTATGGTAACCAAAACAGCATGGTACTGGTACCAAAACTGACACCTAGACCAATGGAATAGGTTAGAGAACCCAGAAATAAAGCTGTACACCTACAACCATCTGATCTTCATCAAAGTCAACAATAACAAGCAATGGGGAAAGCACTTCCTATTCAATAAATGGTGTTGGGATAATTGGCTAGCCATATGCAGAAGATTGAAACTGGGACACTTTCCTTTCACCATCAACTGAAATCAACTCAAGATGAATAAAAGACTTAAATATAAAACATAAAACTGTGAAAACACTAAAAGAAAGTCACTACGAAATACCATTCTTGACACAGGCCTTAGCAAAGATTTCATGAGGAAGTCTCCAAAAGCAATTGCAACAAAGTAAAACATTGGCCTAATTAAACTAAAGAGCATCTGCACAGCTAAAGAAACTGTTAACAGGCCGGGCGCGGTGGCTCAAGCCTGTAATCCCAGCACTTTGGGAGGCCGAGACGGGTGGATCACGAGGTCAGGAGATCGAGACCATCCTGGCTAACACGATGAAACCCCGTCTCTACTAAAAAATACAAAAAACTAGCCGGGCGATGTGGCGGATGCCTGTAGTCCCAGCTACTCGGGAGGCTGAGGCGGGAGAATGGCGTGAACCCGGGAGGCGGAGCTTGCAGTGAGCTGAGATCCGGCCACTGCACTCCAGCCTGGGCGACAGAGCAAGACTCCGTCTCAAAAAAAAAAAGAAACTGTTAACAGAGTAAACAGACAACCTACACAATGGGAGAAAATATTTGCAAACTATGCATCTGACAAAGGTCTAATATTCAGAATTTATAAGGAACTTAAACAACTCAACAAGCAAAAACTAAACAACCTCATTAAAAAACAGGCAGACGACATGAACAGACACTTCTCAAAAGAAGACATACATGCAGCCAACAAGCATATGAAAATAAAATGCTCAATATCACCAATTATTAGAGAAATGCAAATCAAAGCCACGATGAGATATCATCCCACACCAGTCAGAATAGCTGTTATTAAGGTCAGAAAGTAACAGATGTTGGTGAGGTTGCAGAGAAAAGAGAAGGCTTCTACACTCCTGGTGGGAACATAAATCATTAGTTCAGCCACTGTAAGAAGCAGTTTGTAGATTTCTCAGAGAACTTAAAACACAACTACCATTAAATCCAGCAATCTCAATACTGGTACATATCCAAAGGAATATAAATTATTCTACCAAAAAGACACAGGTATGCATATGTTCATCACAGCACTATTCACAGTAGCAAAGACGTGGAATCAAACTAGATGTCTGTCAATTGTGAACTGGATAAAGAAATTGTGGTACATATGCACCGTGGAATATTATGCAGCCATAAAAAAGAACAAAATCATGTCCTTTGCCACAAATTGGAGCTAGAGGCCATTATCCTAAGTGAATTAATGCAGAAACAGAAAACCAAATACCGCATGTTCTCACTTATAAGTTGGAACTAAATGCTGAATACGCATGGACACAAAGAGGGAAACAATAGACACCAGGGCCTACTTAAAGGTAGAAGGTATGAAGAGGGTAAGAAGCAAAAACCTACCCATCAGATACTGTGCTTACTACCCGGGTGATTAAATCATTTGTACACCAAACCCCAGTGACATGCAATTTACTCACATATCAAATCTGCACATGTACCCTGTTAAAGTAAAATAAAAGTCGAAAAAGAAAATAAGAAAATCTTGGGTTACAGGATGGAGGGTACTAAAAAAATTAAAAATAGAACTACCATATGATCCAGCAACCCCACTGCTGGGTATACATCCAAAAGAAGGGAAATCAGTGTATCAAAGAGACATCGGCACTTGCATTTTTACTGTAGCACTATTCACAATAACCAAGATATGGAGTCAACCTAAGTGTCCCTCAATGGATGAATGGATAAAGAATATGAGGTACATATACACAATGGAATATTATTTAGCCATAAAGAATGAAATCCTGTCCTTTGCAACAACATGGATAGAACTGGAGGACATTATAAGTGAAATAAGCCAGGTACAGAAAGACAATGCATGTTCTCACTCATAAATGGAAGCTTAAAAAAAAAAAAAAAAAAAACTCATGGAGATAAAGAATGATAGTTACCAGAGGCTGGGAAAGAAAGCAGGTGGGGACTCCAGTGAAGGAGCATGAAAACACAGTTAGTTAGAATGAATAAAATCTAGTATTTGGTAGCACAATAAAGTGATTATAGATAATAAGTATATATTTCGAAATAACTAGAAGAGTGGAATTGAAATGTTCTTAATACAAAGAAATGATAAAAACTTGAGGGGATGGATACCCCAGTTACCCTGATTTAATTTTTGCACACTGTATGCCTATATCAAAATGTATACCCCATAAACATATAAAACTATTATGTACCCATAATAATTAATTTAAAATTAATAAAAAGAAAATCCTGGGTTCCAATCCCAGCCAGTCTACCATAGAACCCTCAGCAAGCCCTTTCTCCTCCTGCAGGCTCATCTGCCTTGTGTGAAGGTGGACGGAAAGATGTGGGGCATTTGTTTGATTTATGTAGACGTGGGGCATGGCAGGGACTTGGTTCAGAAGCTCAACATAAATGGATAACTATGTGAGTCATAGACCATGTGATTCCATCCTGGAAGGGTCACCCATTCTGAAAAGCTGGGCTGAATTAAAAAGGAACGTCCTTCTCTCTGTGCCTCTGCAAGAACACAAAGGAGACCCAGTTCCTAGCCCTACAACACTTCTTCACATGTCCCATTTCCTTTCCTGCCCTTTCCAGAGCCTCTCATTCGATAAGACCCTCAAAACAAGTCTCCACTCATCCCTTGGACTGCGTCTCTCTGTGCTGCAGATGGAGTGGTCTTTTCTCACCAAGCCCTCCCTCTTCCTCCCCCATCTTCAGTCCTATCTCATCCACAGCACCCCACCCCCAATGCTCTACAACCCTACAACCTCCAGAGCCAACCTGGCAGCCACACGCTTCTCCCGTGGAGCAGGGATGGTGTGGGTAAAGGTCAGCATTGATGAGATGTCCTTTGGCAGCCAGAGTTGGGGAGGTGAGGAATCCTCTTCCACGAATGAACTGTGCCCAGCCTCACATGGGCAGCTTAGAACCAGACTCCCTGCTGAGCTGTGTTCTCTGCCCACAGGGTGACAGCGGGGGACCTCTGGTCTGCACCCCAGAGCCTGGTGAGAAGTGGTACCAGGTGGGTATCATCAGCTGGGGAAAGAGCTGTGGAGAGAAGAACACCCCAGGGATATACACCTCATTGGTGAACTACAACCTCTGGATCGAGAAGGTGACCCAGCTAGAGGGCAGGCCCTTCAGTGCGGAGAAAATGAGGACCTCTGTCAAACAGAAACCTATGGACTCCCGAGTCTCGGGGGTCCCAGAGCCAGGCAGCCTCAGATCCTGGCTCCTGCTCTGTCCCCTGTCCCATGTGTTGTTCAGAGCTATTTTGTACTGATAATAAAATAGAGGCTATTTTTTTAACCAAGGGAGGGTGCATGAAAATGTGTCTCCAGCAGAGGCTCTGACTGCAGCTCGGGGCTCAAGGATGGAAACTGAGACTGGAACCAGGAGAACCAGAAAGTCAGGCTGGGGCCCTGGTTTGGGGACTGCACTTTGGGTCTGTGGATTAGTCAGGACTCTCTCCGTTCTAGGTGACAGTCACCTAAGTCTGACTGAATTCAGCCAAAATGAGGCATTTATGGATACATATAACAGGAAAATAAAAATAAAAATAAAAAACCGACACACAAATATCCAGGGCAGGCATGATGACTTCAGGCGTGGCTGAGTTGAGGGGCTGAAAGGTGAAGGCTGTGACTGTTGTCTGTGGCCATTTCCCTCAAGAAGGGCTTCTCAGTGGTGGCCATGATGAGAATAAAGAATTTCCTGTTGTGCTGGGAAGTTAGTCTCTTAGATCTATGCAGGACTTCAGCGGATTGGACAAGGCCCACCCACATTACGGAGGGAAATCTGCTGATTCAAAAGTTATCAATTTAAGTGTCAATCTTATCCAAAGATGCCCTGCAAGTTGACATATGAGATGAACCACCACACTGCCCAGGCAGCCTTCACATGGTGTTTACATTACTCCCGCCCATCAGAACGAACGATGTGCTTAAGCTCACCCTACCTTAAGGACAACAGCTTATTGTAACCCTTCTATCAAGCAACCTTAATGTTTCCTGAGGACCCCACTGATATGGTTTGGCTATGTCCCCACCCAAATCTCATCTTTAATCCCACGTGTTGTGGGAGGGACCCAGTGGGAGATAATCGAGTCGCGCAGTGGTTTTCCCATACTGTTCTCATGGTAGTGATTAAGTCTCGCGAGATCTGATGGTTTTATCAGAGGTTTCCCTTTTTGCTTGGCTCTTGTTCTCTCTTGCCTGCTGCCATGTAAGATGTGCGTTTTGCCTTCCACCATGACTGTGAGGCCTCTCCAGCTACGTGGAACTGTGAGTCCACAAACCCCTTTTTCTTTATAAATTACCCAGTCTCAGGTACGTCTTTATCAGTTGTGTGAAAACAGACTAACACACCCACTTTTCAAAATCACCTTTTTTCCGTTCCCCATCTTGGGCCTTCTCTCTTTTGGGGCAGGCAGGCCTGGACTCCCCTTTCCCTCGCCTCTCAAGTTGTCACCTGTTCTCCTTTCTGGCTCATCCTGGAGCCAAGCTGATGGTGCTCCCCTCTTGCTCTTTCCTTCATGTTCAGAGGCTCTCGCCTCTTCTTTCAGCTGACCTCCCTCCATGGCTCAGTCCTTCTGAGTTGCCTGCTGTGTTCCACCAGCATGTTGAATGGCCCCTCCCTGCACCAAGCAGGACTCCCCACCCTGCAGCATGCAACTGCAAGGGCTAGTGTGGGGCGGACCACCATTCACAAGAAGCCCCTTGAGAACATGTTCTCATCTTCCCCTCCTGTAGACCCAGTGCTGCTGCGTGCTTCTTTCCTCCGGATTCGAATTTCCTGGGCCACCACCGAAGATGCAAAGGCAATTCAGGAAATGCAAATCCTTAAATGGAAGCTTGGGCTTTTCCTGGGGACCTACAGCCTGGCTGAGAGTTCTCCAGACAGAGACTGTGAAAAAAAGCTTCCTGGCTGGGCACGGTGGCTCAACTCCTGTAATCCCAGCACTTTGGGAGGCCGAGGCAGGTGGATCACCTGAGATCAGGAGTTCAAGACCAGTCTGGCCAATGTGGTGAAACCCCATCTCTACTTTAAAAAATACAAAAATTAGTTGGATGTGGTGGCAGGTGCCTGTAATCCCATCCACTCGGGAGGCTGAGGCAGGATAATGGCTTGAACCCAGGAGGTGGAGGTTGCAATGAGCCAAGATTGCACCATTGCACTCCAGCCTAGGCAATAAGAGTGAAACTCCATCTCCAAAAAAAAAGAAAAAAGAAAAAAACTTTCTAGTTCTCCTTTTTCCCACTCTAACCCTGCTCCTCCAGAGGTCCTACAGCTACAATGTTTAGAAGCCATTTTTTCAGAAGCTCCTAAGAACCTGGGACTCAGGCAGGCCCAGTGGAGGGTGGCCAGGCAGAGTGTGCACCATCTCAGGACATCACCAGTGTCCACTCCACTTTCCTGCTCACTGCCCTCTGACTTCTGTGTGAGGGCCCTCCCACACAGAAGGACTCCCAAATTGGGGGTCCTCCAATTTGCATAGTTCTGGATGGTTTTCACCCACTCTCCAATTTGCGTAGTTGTGGATGGCTGGCCCTTTGCTGGGGCCTGGGGTGGGCATAGAACTCAAACCTGGCCTAGAAGGACATTGATTTTGGCCACAGGGATGGGAGCAGCAATGGGCTGTGGGCTTTGTGGGTCATAAGAGCGAGACCAAGACTTCTGCTGGAGTTATCAGGAACAAGACTCTCTCTCTCTCTCTCTCCTGGGACTCCCAAGATGGTAGGGTGCATGTTGAAGGTACTGCTCATGCGAAGGCTGCTGGGGAGTGTGGTGGTTCCTTTTATCTGTCAACATGGAGGGCATCTTTGGATGAGATTAATGTTTAAATTGGTAAACTCTGAAGAAGCAGATTGCCCTCCATAATGGGGGTGGGCCTCATCTAATCCACTGAAGGCCTGAGTAGGACAAAAATGATTGGCCCTCCCTGCACAAGAGGGAATTCCTCAGCCGCCCACCTTCGGACTTCACCTGTATTGTCAGCAATTCTGGGGCTCTGCCTGCCGGTCTCTAAACCAGAGCGGCACCATCGGCTCTCCTGCATCTCGAGTCTGCCGGTCCACACACCAGGTTCGAGCCTGCCAGTCTCTGTAGTCAGGTGAGCCAATTCCTTATAATAAACAGCTTCATATCTGTATATCCATATTTATATCACCTACATATCTACATCTCATCTCTATATCAACTCTATCTAATCTATCTCTCCTGTTTTTTTCTGGAGAACTCTGACTAATATGGGGGAAGAGCTTCTGTACTGTGAAGGGGCTTCTTAGATAATGAGGTGGAAGCAATGTTGCTGTTTCACTTTTCTTTTTTGAAACATGGTCTCACTCTGTCGCCCAGGCTGGAGTGCGGTGGCATGATCACAGTTCACTGCCACCTAGATCTCAGGTGATCCTCTCAACTCAGCCTCTCTAATAGCTGGGACTACAGGTGCACATCACCACACTTGGCTCATTTTTTACAATTTTTTGTAAGATGGGAGTCTCACTATGTTACCCAGGCTGCTGTCAAACTCCTGGGCTCAAGCAATCCTCCCGCCATGGCCTCCCAAAGTGCTGTGATTACAGGCATAAGTCACCGCACCTGGCCCTGTTTCACCAGTGAATGCAACATTTTGTCATGATATGGAAATTGTCAGTTTAAACATTATCCCATCAATTGTGATTAGTCAGGCTACAGGATTATCATCTGTGTCCCAAGAGAGTTTTCATACCTAGAGTTACACAGTGTAGTGTCTAAACTGCACTGTGGTTCCCCAGTGCGGATGTGTGGGGGACAAGACAGACACACAGAGACATCTGTTGGACATCAAGGGAAACAACAATGTCTGTTGGACATGGAGTCGACCACTGCTACTAAGGTGTTTCAACTTAACAACTTAATAAATGCAATGGTTAGGCATTTCATTTGGCCTAGAAGCACCATAAAAAAAAAAAAAAAAAAAAGCTAAGATGCTAAGGGTTTGTGAACTGGGAAAGTTTGAAGAATCTCTAGCCTAAAAGATAATTGCTGATTTTAATATTTTGTATTTAAGAATTAGGGGTGAGTTGTTACAATAGTTTTGTGGAGGGTAATTTGAGAGTAGCCCAAACGTCTCCTTAAAGATGACCTAACTGGGCATGGTGGCTCACGTCTGTAATCCCAACACTTTGGGAGGCCGAGGCAGGTGGATCACCTGAGTTCATGAGTTCAAGACCAGCCTGGCCAAAATGGTGAAACCCCATCTCAACTAAAAATACAAAAAAAATTAGCTGGGTGTGGTGGTGGGCGCCTGTAATTCCAGCTACTTGAGTGGCTGAGGCAGGAGAATCGCAGAGGAGGCAGAGATTGCAGTGAGCTGAGATCACACCATTGTACTCCAGCCTGGGTGACAAGAGCAAAACTTTGTCTCAAAAAAAAAAAAAAAAAAAAAAATGACCTCCTGCAGCAGGGACATGAAATCAAGGCTCAGGTGTCTGTGGGCTGTTTTGTCTGCCCTGCACCTAGTGGCTCCGGTTTATTTGGGGGAACCCTCTTCCTCATTGCCAGTTTCTGATCTCACCTTTCTCAAGATCCATTTTGTATGGACAGGTAGAGCCCCACTTCTGATTCCGGAGGTTGCATGGAACCAGGCCTGGCCAATGAGAGGCCCTCAACCCAGGGCCTCAGGATGTCTTTCAGGTGGCCCTAAGAACCAAGCTTGGCAATCTTGGCAAGTCCCAGAACTTCACCTGGGACTTGCACAGGCTCTTTGAGATTAGCAGCTCTCTCTCTGTCTGCTAGGACTGACCCTTGGAGAATGTAAGCCTAGAGCTTCTGGGGGCCCCATGTGGAGGTGACTGCCCTGAGAGTGAAGTCAAAGAGTGAAGACATCACATCCTGATATTTTTATAGCCCTTACAGCCAGGCATGCCTGAACCACAGATTTCTTTTCTTTTCTTTTCTTTTCTTTTCTTTTCCTTTTCTTTTTTTTCTTTTCCCTTCCTTCCTTCCTTCCTTCCTTCCTTCCTTCCTTCCTTCCTTCCTTCCTTCCTTCCCTCCCTCCCTCCCTCCCTCCTTCCTTCCTTCCTTTCTTCCTTCCTTCCTTCTTTCCTTCCTTCCTTCCTTCCTTTCTCTTTCTTTCTTTTTCTTTTTTTTTTTTTTAGACAAGGTCTTCACTCTGTTGCCCAGGCTGAGTGCAGTGGCACCATTTTGTTTCCTTTAACAAATCTCTCCCTATCTTCCCCTTTCCCCTATCCTTCCTAGGTTCTAGTATTCTCTGTTCTAATTTTTACTTTTATGAGATGAACATCTTTTAGTTTCCACATCATATAAGCATTTACAGCTATACATTTCCCTCTCACTGCTGCTTTAGTGCATCACATATGTTTTTGTGTGTTATGTTTTCACTCTCATTGACCTTAAAGTATTTTCTAATTTCCCATGTGAGCTCTTTTTACTCATTGGTTATTTAGGAGTGTGCTGTTTAATTTTTATATATTTGTAATTATTCTCCTGTTATTTATTTCTAATTTAATTCCACTGAGGTTGGAGAACATACTTTGTATTATTTCAATCCTTTTAAAAATTTGAGAATTGCTTTATAGCTTAGAATATGGTCTACCCTAAAGAATATTTTATGTACTCTATTTTAAAAAGTATATTCTGCTATTATTGGGTAGTGTGTTCTATAGATGTTTGTTAGGTGTAGCTGGTTTATAGTATTGCCAAAATCTTCTATATCCTTGTTAATCTTCTGCATAGTTGTTCTATCCATTATTTAACATGATGAGATTTAAGTCTCCAACTTCTGTTATTAAATTGTCTCTTTCTTCCTTCAATTCTGTCATTTTTTGCTTCCAATATTTTAATGTTCTATTGTTAGGTGCATATATGTTTATAGTTGTTGTATCTTTCTGAATCATTGACCCTGTAGTCATTATAAAATGTCCCTCTTTATCTCTAATGACTTTTTTGTTTTACAGTCTATTTTGTTGATATTATTAGCATCATATCCGCTCTTTTATCATTACTATTTGCATAGTATATCTGT